ACAGTGAATACTCGCGGACCGACAAACCGATGGTGACAATACAGGGTCTTCCATCTCTGCGCTGGAAGTCCACAGTCCAACCTGACGATTGAGCTGCAGTCTAGATGTGCATGGCATCGAGTTGATTGTGACTCAGCGCCCCCGGAGAGCGTTTCTGAGGCTGTAAGGCTTAGGGGGGGGCAGGCAGCCTTGTCTGGGCTGCCACCCTGATTGGAGCAGTCCAACTGTGCCACCAGTACCCCTTACAGCCCAGACAGAGGCTGGAATTTTCAGCGGGGCTGGTGTGACCCTCGGCAGTTTGGCAGGCACTTCCTAGCAAGGTTGAGATGAAGGTCACAGATGGCAGTGCTTTGGCATCTTCTGATACTCGCTTTTGGGTCACGCAATGACCAGGCACTGAGCTGCTCTGTACCTTCCACTCAGTTCACTCAGCCCGCCCTCAGACCCGTGAGCGCAGTGCCCTTGCTCTCCCCTCGTCTGGGAAGCCATGGCCTCTGACACTCCCCTAGCTGGTCCTCCTCGCTGTTAGGGCCCCTGCTTGGAGAAGCGCGCCCCGGCCTCTCTGCCCATTGCTCATGTCATCTACGATGGAAACTCCTGAGAGCTGGGGCCCTGTCCGCCTGGCCCACGGCCTCTTCCACCTGCAGCTGGTTCACAGGTGGAGTCTGTGGAGCAGGGTCACAATGCCTGCGTACTGAGCTCTGCGTAGCTTCCACGAAAGAACGGCGGAGTCTTCCGTACGAGAATTGGCAGGTGCCCTCAATGAATTTTGTTATGATGATACTTGGGATTTCCCACCATTTCAAACCGGAAGCTACCCCTCTTTATTTTAAATAAAGGTTACGTTTATGTTTCAATTTTTTTTTTAAAGCAACCCATCGCCACATTTCTAAGCCTGGAGTTCAGGTCCTTTGATATCAGATCATCCCTCCCTCTCCTCTCCTACCTGTTTCTCAGCCCGTCTCCACGGGTCTCGGCCCCTGCGAGTGCTGAGCAGAACCGCACACCCTGAGCAGCCTCGGCGCCACCTGCCCTCACCCTCAGTTCTTGAATCCAACGAGCATGGACACCAAAGGTTTGTCTCAAAACCAGCCCTGAACGGAAGTGAGACTGTTCACAGTCGTCAGTTACTCCACGTGGTGTGAAGAGCCATGTCTCCAGCGGCCACATGTGTCGACTGAGTGCTGCCATCTGAGCACTTGTTGGGGTGTGTCCCCTGGTTACCACATGTCTGTCGCATTGAGTACGTAGCGCCTTTCTAAAATCGGGGACTTCTGAAACTCCGCTGGCCGGCCCCACGAGCGACAGAGAAGGGCCTGAGGACCAGCTGCTCGGAAGGGGCCCTCAACTTAGACTTGGAAGAGGTGGGCTTGCATCCCCTCTGTCAGGGATGCCCTGCGCCTCAGCCTCCTCACCTAGGATAGGAGCCTGTCTTGTCTTAAAACACATCGGAGGCTCAGCCACTAGACAACTGGGCTTGCTAGAATGATACAGCAGAGAGCAGTAGATAGCTTTTGGATGAGGTCTGAGCCACCCCCTCGTTTCTCCCACTACCACCACCACCACTGAGCACAGGCCTCGAGCTTGACTCCTTGGATGGACCGGCGAGTGTCTGCCTTTCTCCACAGCAGCTTCTGGCTGGCCTCCTGGTGAGGGCCCATGTGAAGGGGCTTCCAGGGCTCCAGTACCTTGGCTTTCTGCAGCACCCGTCCTTGGTTGGCGGTTCCGATGGAGGGGCTCCTCTTCCTCAGCTCAGAAACACAGTTGACAGGGAGGGGTGACTCTGGGCCCGTGTTCTGCGGTGGATGTGCTACTTCCTGCAGGGAGCCGGAAACAGTCCACAGGTGAGGGCCACCCCTGGCTACCTATGCCCAGTCTGCGAGCCCTTTAAGACAGCACGATGCAAACATGCCAGCGTCGAACAGGGTTGAGTGGTGGCTGCGGGAGACACTTGAGTGCTGGGAATGAAGACATGGAGAGCTAAAATTACCCAGCCCTCACGGTGCACCAGGCACGGCACCGGGAGTTCACTGAAGTGCCCCTCACGGCTCTGAAGTAGGGGCTATTATTAGCCCCTCTATTTTACAGAGGAAAACACCGGCCATGCAGACATCAAGGCCCTGGTTAAGACCACACCGCCAGTGGAAAAGCCAGGACTCGCATCTCACAGCCCCAGCTCTGACTTTCAGTGCCGGGTTTTTACCATTTTCTTTCTACACTGCCTTCATCTCTCTCTTTTTAAAAACTATATTTAATTATTTTTTTAAATCATTTTATTAGGGGCTCAGACAGCTCTTATCACAATACATAAACATACATGCATACATCAATTGTGTGAAGCACATTTGTGCATTCATTGCCCTCATCATTCTCAAAACATTTGCTCTCCACTTAAGCCCCCGGCCTCAGCTCCTCATTTTTTCCCCTCCCTTCCCCTCCCCCCTCCCTCATGAACCCTTGATAATTTATAAATTATTATTTTGTCATATCTTACCCTGTCCAACATCTCCCTTCATCCACTTTTCTGTTGTCTGTCCCCCAGGGAGGAGGTCACATGTAGATCCTTGTAATCACCCCCTTTCCAACCACCCTCCCTCCACCCTTTCATCTCTTAAAAGGTCCAGATGGCTGCTGAGCACCTTACTAGGTGTCACAGGTGTACCCAGGGTCTGGCCAGTTCCCTGGCACCACGTGGGTGCAGGGGTGCCAGCGAGAAGTTTCTATTGGCATCCCAGCTCCCACCACCCACTAGGAGAGATCATGCGGCAGTTTAAAACGAGTCATCCTCGGTGCTGCTTTGCGTCGGTACACCGCTGGGTGTAGATCCTGCAGTGTGACATCTTAATAGTCAGACCGGGAATTCACAGCAGGTCGCACTCAGCTCCAAAGGGTGCTGCAGTCAAAAGACCCAAAGCACTCTGGGACGGGAAGGCCAGCACACCGAGTTCAGAGGTGAGAACCGGTTTGAGGTCCTCTGTTGACCCTCTAACCTTGGACAGTTGTTTTGTCCCTGGCCTTCCTGTTCACACAGTCCCCAAGGGCAGTGTCGTGGAGGGAGCAGTGTCTTCCCTTGGCTACTAAGCAGTTGGCAGTTTGAACTCACCAGCTGCTCCCAGGAATTAAGACGAGGCCGCCTGGGCCTGTCATGATCTACAGCCTAGGAAGTCCTATGGGGCAGTTCTAAGCTGGATTCCCCCAGACAGCAGTGGGTTTGTATGTACGCAGACAGAGTTACAGTCTCAAGATGAGCTTACCCAGGATTGAGGGGGGCATTAACTCCTGAAAAGAGACGTAGAGAAGGTAGCAGAGATTGGGGGATTGCGGTGATCTCCTGGGGCCCTAGAAGCTATGAGATGCTGGAAGACAGTTTCTTCCTCAGAGCCTCAGGGGAGTGTGGTTTTGCCAACCCCGTGGGTTCTAGTCTCCAGACTGTGAGAAGGGGAGCCACCAGCAGGCCTCACCTTCCTCCCGGGGAGCAGCTGGTGGGCTAGAACCGCTGACCTTACTGGTAGCTGCCTAACACTTGTTCACCACCAGAGCCCCTTTTCTGTCATAAACACGACCCCAAATTAATTGACAGCAATTCCAACTCACAGGGACCCTGCAGGGCAGGGCCAGCCTGCCCCAGAGGATCTTTCAAGGCTGTAATCTTTATGGCAGTAGACTGCCACATCTTCCCACGGAGCGGCTGGTGGGTCCCCTGCAGACCTTGTGCTTGTCAGCCAAGAGCTTAACCTCCATGCCAGCACGTGACGGCCCCCACAGAAAAGAATAGTCTAGGAGAGCCCGGGAGAAAGCACATCCCATGACGGCAAAAGGCTGGGCTCTGGAGTCAGCTGCCTGCACTTGGGATCCCATCTCCCTCTCAGCATTCTCAACCTCAGGGCCCTCACCTGTCAAAGAAGCCTCAGGGGGGTGAGTCCACACAGGTTCAAATGCTGTGCAGGCATGCGGGAACTGGTCAATGCAAGTTTGTGACTCTTGTTGAATGTAATGGTCACTATTAATATTGACCGAATCAAGAGAAGGCCATACGAGAGCTTCCCTTCTTTGCTGTCCACCTGTGGCATGCCCCTTCCCCCCAACCCCCCACCTGCTCAGTTTTCTCATTTGTGAAAGCGGCCATGAGGAAGGGATGAAGATGCAGGGGCAGACGAGAGTGGACACACCCCGCTCTTGCTCTTGCTGCTGGTCATGGAGAGCCCCAGGGCTGGGCCCCCAGCCAGGGACTGCTGTAAGCGCTCCTTCACGGCCACCAGCCGCAGCTCCAGGTCGATCCGGCGCTCCTCCCTCTCCCGACACTGAGCTTCCAGCGTGGCCACGGCGTCCTCCAGGTCCTTGAACTTCGCGCCTGTGTACAGAGACACTGATGAGAAACAGCTGAGCTGGGCCCCCAGCATCCAGGCATCTGGCTCTTGCTGTCGGCCCTCCCGGAGGGCCGCTCCAGCCCCTCTGAGCTGATGGGCCGTGGGCCTGACTTCCAGTTCCACTCTACGTGGTCTGGCCTGCCCCGGACCTCTTTCTCCATCTTCTGGAAACAGCACCCCGATTCTCCACGGGGAGACTACCTTTTCCCCTCTCGTTACCGCTGGTTTGGGTGGGCCTGACCCCACCCGGGGTTCAAGGGCGTGGCACACCATCTAGTCCTGGACAATCATCAGATTTCACCTTCTGGTCACAGTGACTGGGTTAAGGATCAGAGCTGACCTAATCCGAGGGAATCCTGAAGATTGTGTGAGGAGCCCTGGGAAGTAACGCGATGAAGACGCTCAGCGAGATGGATGGACACAGAGGCTGCAGCAGTGGGCGCACGTGGCAGCGGCTGTGCGGGTGGGGCAGGACCGGGCAGAGTTCCTGCTGTGCTGCATAAGGTTGCAGGGAGTCCGAAGGGGCTGAGGGGCACCCACAACAAGGACCCTTGGCAGCGCAGCTCTCTGCTGGGGCGGCTGAGCAGAAAGTGCAGGGCTGTGCAGCCCCTGAGTCACCACGAGGAGAGAGAATTAACCGACATGCAGGGACATTTGAGAAACCACCTTCCTGGCGGCATCATTTCAGTCCCGGGACCCCGTGCTCCGGATCTCGCTAATTTCCAGGGACATTTTTCCTATCTGCTTTTCTAAGCCAGTTAGACTTGGTTTTCTGTTAGGGCACAGCACTTTTCTCAGACCAGGGCTTCCTACTCGGGCTTTGTTGCTTATCAAGTTTAACCCAAGAGACCTGGGCTCCCACCCCCTTTGTGCCAACTGCTACATTGGGTCTAGCCAGGCTTAGACAGTGAGGGAGTTCCAGTCTTTCCTCTGAGGGAGGCTGCACGACAAGGGTTGGAGAGTGATGGAGGAGTCTTTGCTTTTGTGTGTTCATTCACACATTTCCTCAGCCAATAGTCTTTGCTGTTTACTATGGGTCAGGCGCTCCTCAGCGCTGGGTGATACATGGTGAAGAAAACAAAGGTTCTTGCTCTCTGGGAGCTTATAGTCTAGGGTGTGTAGGAGGAGACACGCAGGATGTAAGAGGAATAATCACAGGCAAGCTACGATGCCTCAAAGCGTGAAGAGCTACAGAAAAAGAGACCAAGGTGAGTGGGGCCAGGAGGTCAGCCTGCTCCAGACTCAGGTGTTTCTCTCTATTGACACGAACTGCTTTCGTGTGTGCCAGCCCCATTCATGCTGTTTCTGGGCCACATCAAACACATTTTATCCTCTAAGCCAGTTGGCACAGCAGAGTCCACATGACAGGGGTCTTACAAGCTTGTGTGGGGCCATCTAAGGTGTCACGGCTGGCCTCTCCCATCTGGAGCAGAGGGGAAGGAAGACAATCAAGGACGATATGGGGACCATTAGTCCAAAGGCTTCATGGACCAGGGACTCTCAACCTCTATGTCCCTGAGAGCGGAACAACCAGGTGTGTCTGGCTACGCTGACTGCTAGGGAGGAAGAGGACGTCCCTTCTTCCAGCACCTGGAGAAGCCTCAGGCGGAAAGTGCAGAACTGCAGATAGAGAGGGAGAACTCAAAGGACACAAGTGGAAAACGAGGTGGAAGACATGGGGGGGGGGGCAGGGCCTTCTCCCAGAGGCACGATGGCTACACTTTCCTCCATCACTCATCTACTCAGCCGCCCTGCCTCTGGATTTGAAAAGAGGGCCGTGGGGAAAAGTGGGGTTACAGAGTGGTCTCACCCCGCCCCCCCCAGCACCTGGACCAATGTCTCGCACACAGCCAAGTGTCTAAGACACGTTCCGTGGGGGAAGGGTTGAATGTAAAGTTCACAGCGCCCTGATTCTGTAGCACACTTGTTTTCAGTGGAACATTTCTCAAAGCAAGCTGGGCATTGCCATACTAAATGTGTACATCATTGTAACTCCATGGTCAGCCTCCTGCCCTGGTGGTGTAGTGGTTACACTGTGAGCTGTGATCCACATGGCCAGCAGTTCAAAACCAGCAGCAGCTCCTTGGGAGACAGACAGGGCTTTCTTTCTACTCCTGTCAACAGGGGGTCACTATGAGTCGGAATGGACTCCATGGTGGGCGAGTTTGTTTTTTGTTTGCCGCCCACCTAAAACTCAAACGCACTGCCATAGAGCCCCGTCTGACTCCCAGTGGCCCTATAGGATAGGTCGAACCGCCCCGGTGAGCTTCCGGGACTATAACTCTTTAGACGTGCCAAGCTCGGTTATTTTCCCCCAGGAACCGCTGCTGGTTTTGAACGGAATCCTTCGTTCACGGGAGGAATGATGATGATGAGAGGGGAAGGAGAAGCCACGCTCTCCTGGGAAAGACACCCGGTGACCCAAGGACGCGACTTCTCCCCGCGCCAGGTGCGCGCCAGGTGCGCCCGTGCGCGCGGGGCCACAGCCACAGGTACCCGCGTCGCCGCTCCGGAGGGCCTCCTTCAGCGCGCGCTTCTCCTGGCGCAGCGCCGCCAGCTCCGTCCGGATGGTCTCCTTCTCCTTCTCCAGCTTCTCCTTCTCCACCAGGTACCGCCGCGCATCCTCCTGGGCGCGGTTCTTGCCGTACTTGTACTGATTGGCGCCTGCAGGGAGGTGAGAGCGGAAAGGGCCTTTCGTTTTGCGTTCTAGTGTGGGTCCCTGCGCGGCTCTCTCGGCCTCAACTTGTCTATCCATAACATGGGGATGTTTAGATCGGTAGCAAGGAGAATCTGCTCTAGAAACAGGGAGCAAAAGGAGGGCTTTGGAACCCGACAGACCAACGTCTGTGTTCGCTTTTGCCCTCTGCTGGTTTTGTGGCACCCGGCAAAAGCGAGTGGTGGCGTCCTGAGACTTTCCCCCTAGGTTTCAGTTTCCTAGGAACGACGAATTGAAAGGTCGGCTAAGGCTTAAATGAGATCATTCATAGAAAGTGGGCCAATAGGAGGCCCTACTAATGTAGCATTATGATTTATTTTCTGATAATACAAAGGGTATGCTCTCAATTAAGGCAGGAAGAGAAGTTATGCACAAGGGAGCTTCCAACACTTTGCCAAAAAGAATACCATTTCCTCACAAACTGTTTGAAGTCAGTCTTACCCCCACATGACTCAGATTCACAAAGAATGCAGCCCGTAGGTGCCGCTCATTACTGGGGACAAGGGGTGAGGGGTCCAGTTGTCTACTGTAGGCTCTACACAAGACAACGGATCATCATGACAACATTATGTTGAGCATTTACTAATTGCCGGGTTATGTTAGTGAGGCAGGGTTGGTGCTGGGTGATCCGGAGCCACATGGAAGTCACCTGGGAGCAGATGCTCAGAGACATGGACCTCCCTCCAGAGCTAAGAGAGAGAACGAGAGAGAGAGAGAGAGAGAGCAAGCCTTCCCTGGAGCCTGCACCCTGAACCCTGACTCCCAGCCTCCTGAGCTGTGATGTCACAAATGCCCATTTGTTCAAGCCACCTCGTTGTGAAGTTTCTGTTACAGCAACCTAGAACACTAAGGCAGGAAGTTTCCAACAGGGCCCACGGTCCTTTTCTTTCAATAGTGGTTTAACTGAAACATAATTCACATCCCACACAATTTGCTGACTTAACCTGTACAGTTCAATGGCTTTTCGTGTATTCTCAGGGTAGTGTCACCATTACCACAATACATTTCAATCAGCTGCCAAAGAAACCTCGTTCCCACGAGCAGTCACTCACAAGTCCCCTGGACTCCCCCGTCACCCAGGTAAACAGCAGTGTGCTTCCCAGGGCAGCATGCTCGCCTATTCTGGATCTTTATAGCAGCATCGTAAGTCTGAGGTCTTTTGTGACTGCTCAGCACAGGGGTCCTCAAACTATGGCTCGCGGGCCACATGTGGCCCACCGAGGACATTTATCCAGCCTGCCGGATGTTTTTGCCCTGTTTGTTTTTTTTAGTTCAAAATAAGACATGTGCAGTGTGCATAGGAATTTGTTCATAGTTTTTTTTAAACTATAGTCTGGACCTCCAACGGGTCTGAAGGACAGGGAACTGGCCCCCTGTTTAAAAAGTTTGAGGGCCCCTGGAATGTTTCAAGGCTCACTCACTTTGCAGCAACTAGAATTACTTCCTGTTCACCCATTCATTATTTGATAGATATTTAGATTATTTCTACTATCGAGAGGGATTTCTACTATGAGACCACTGCTGTGAACACTTGTGCATGAGTTTTTGTGTGGACATCGATTGTCGTTTCTCTTGTGTATATACTGAAGAGTCAACTTTCCGGGTCATGTGGTCACCCTGCTTAACTTTTTGAGGACATGGCCCACTGCCAGGGCGGTTTCTGAAGTGGCTGTACTATTTTAGAGTTTCCCGAAGATCATCAAGGCTGCAATTCCTCTCCATTCTAGTCCACACTTGTTATTATCTTCCTGATGCTAGTTTTCTTCCATGGGCTGACTGTGTCTCTGCCCCCACAACTCCCCTCCACCCCAAGTGTCAACCGGACTGGGCCTTGGTTTTCAGCCATGTGGCCATTATGCAAATGATGTCCTGAGGCAGTGATGGGATGATCTCTGGAGATGGGAACCTATGGGAGAACCCAGAAAGAGGATTGAGGGTGGGCAGCACCACCCTTAACCCTGTCATGGCCTTGAGTCAGCGAAAGGTGGTGTTCCTGGGGTGTGGCTTGCAGCACTCTTTAACTGACGAGAGAGAAAGGGAAAGAGAAGGGAGCAGAGCTAGAGGGGACTCATGACCCCGCGAAAGAAGAGCTGGGGTGAAGGCATGCTTTGGACCTGGGATGCCTGCACCGTGAAGCTTCCAGGTCCAGGAGGGGGCTGGTGGCGGGATCGATGCCAAGGCACGGGGTGCTCTCCAAGGAATGCTGGGACCACAGATGCTGAACGGGGACAAGGACCTTTCAACCAGAGCTGACAGAGAGGGAAAAAAGCCATCCTCCCAGAGCTGGCACTCTGAATTTAGACTTCTGCTTTCTAAACAGAGAGAACAGATTTAAGTGTGTTAAAACTACCCACTGGTGCTATGTCTGTTACGGTGTGAGTTGTGAGCAAGACTTGCCAGCAAGAACGAGTCCGCTTTGATTTGTTGACTAATAATCGCTTCGGTTGCACATTTGTCACAGGATATTTGGACGGATTCCAAGGGCTTGAACAAGAGTTGGGGATGTTGGGGGTATGGCAGGAGAGGTTTTTTGCATGTGTGTGTGTGTGTGTGTGTGTGAAGGGGAGCTAATAATGATGAGCACAGGAATGAAGAAAATGTTCTAAAACTGCTTGGTGATGACGGTACAACTCTCCCTGATGTGACTGAACTAGTGAACTGTGTGATGTATGACCGATATGCCAATACAACAATACAAAAAGTCAGAGACAAAGCAAACAGAAGTCTGGAACGTTCATTCCTATGTGAATCCTGCTTGGGGTCCACTGGAAAGCTCCAGCTTTCTCAGGCGGAAGAACAAACCCGTCTGTCTTGGAGGAGGCACAGCTAGGAATGTCCCTGAGAAGCAAGGCTGGCAGGACCTTATCTCACATCCCTTGGAGGAGAGAAGGATGTCATGCTTGCCTACGCAGAGGGGCAATGAAGACGAGGAAGACCATCCACTAAGATGGATTGGCACCGTGGCCACAACAATGGGCTCACACATCACCGTGATGGTGAGGATGGAGCAGGGCCGGGCGGGGCCTTGTTCGGTCACACACACACACACACACACACACACACACACACACACACACACACGGTTGGTTGCTGTGAGTCGGAACTGACGTGACACCTACCTAACAACATGGTCCTAGTAAAACGATCAAGTCCTTGCCCGCTCGCTACCTGATAGGTTGTCCATTCAAACCACCAGCCACTCCTTGAAGGGCAAAAACCCTGTCGGTCTGCTCTAAGGAAGATTCCAGCTAGAATAATGAATGACCATGCCCAAGGACAATCTTCTCCGTCTTAATTTGGTGAGGAGTGGCTGGGATCCTTAAAGCTGTGAGCAGCCATCTAAGGTGCAACGGCTGGTCTCTCCCTGTCCAGAAGAAAGCAGAGTGAAGACAACAGATGATACGTGGACACACCGAGTCTAATGGCCACGCCAAGAGCAGTCTCCACCACCCCGAGACCAGAACAACTAGAGGGTGCCCACCTCCTACTACCAGTTGCTCTGAAAGATCATGTTAGAAAGTCCTGGATAGGGTGGAGGAAAACGTGAAACAAAACTTAAAATCATAAAAACAGATGAAGTTCCTGGTCGGCTAGAGACTGGCAGGTGCGCCTTGACTGTGGACTTTGGTTGCCCATCTGGAGATGCCCTCATCCCCATGGCTCCCTTTTCAGTCAAACCAGAGACAGGTCTAGAAGAGGGGCCGTGGTGACAGGGAGGTCTGAACACCTTAAGACAGTCAGCCATGTGAGGTTACAGAGGGAAGCACTTACTGAACAACAAAGTCCCGAGGGGCTAGGGAAGGAGGAGGAATGGCAACCGGAGACACAGGGAAGGACTGGGATGCGTGAGGTTGCATGGTGGGGACTGCCATCAATGAGAGGAGACCAAAAGTGTGTGACTTGTTGAATGGGAAACCGATCTGCTCTGTAAGCCTGCACCCAATTCACGCGCGCACATGCACACACATATGTACACACACGTAAGAAAAGGAAAGAGAGAAAAAAGATTTCAGCTCCGGAAACTCCATGGGGAACTCTGAGCAGGAATGGATCCGACGCACACAACAACAACTACAACCATTATGCTTCTCTTGTATCCCAGAGGAGGGCCTACGATCACTGCACCATGACCTTCCTATTGCTCAGAGGAGACACTGAGACCAGAGAGGACAGGACGCTTACAAGGTTGCCTTGCCCGGTCAGCAAGTCAGCGAGGATGGGACATGTCTCCTGACACCCCAGCTTGACCCTCTTTACCAATCGGATGGACCCATCATACAGAAAAGCATTTTACTGGATGAAAGACAAGCCCTCAAAGTATAGAAGGCAGAACCTCTTGATCATGTGCAGTGGGGAGGGGGTGGATATACAACAAGGCAGAAGAGATTCTCAGGAATTCGGGAACACGCTGTCCTACCAGAAGCTAGCTTGCCTACAAAGATAAAAAACATCCAAGGGAGACTCGTATTGACAATCAAGTACGACTCAGAGAGGCGTGCATGTCTGGTGCACGTTCAATGGCAGTGGGCGTCACGACTGTGCCCTGTGTCAACTGGGCATTCAGCGAGTGCACCCACAGTGCTGGGCAGAGCTGGGGGCTGTGCCACGGACGTGAGCCACCCTTTGCATGCCGGCTGTCTCCAGGGCAAGGGGAGGGGTTCAGTTCTCCACTTACCACCCCACCCCAGATCACAGTAGTAAGCTCTGGTGGTATTGTGGGTTAGGTGCTGGGCTGTGAGCTGAAGCATCAGTGGTTCAAACCCACCAGCCACTCCATGGGAGAAAAGGGAGGCTATCTGCTCCCATAAAGATCATAGCCTTGGAACGCCACATAGGGCGGGGATCGACTCGGTGGCAGGCAATCTGGTTTGTGTGGGCAGCTGAGAGATAAATGCTGAGATCTGTTCTTGGCCCTACTGGATATTAATGTAAAACAAAATTATAGATTGCCAATATAAAAAAGTAAGTCGATTTTACATAAAAGTAAACCGCTGGTCTCTTTGAAAGATTTGGCTAATGTGGACCCTGGGCGGGTACTGCTCTGCGGCAGCCCCCTGCTAGGCTGGGCTGGGCTGTGAGCACTCTGATTTCAAAGCGCCCCCCCCCCCCAACAGAACCTACCCTGTTTGTTCTGTTTCCTCTCTGAGGCCACATGCCAGCTGCTCCCAACACTGGCTGCTTGTGCCGCGCAGGGACTGTTTCTTACATCTCCCCTCATCCTCTGGCCCCTGGAGGACCCCTGAGGTGGACAGCTTGCCCCCTGCCTCTGTGCAGAAGGAAGGGACCCCCCCTCCCCCCAACTCACTGGAGGCATGGCGCTTGACTTTGACCTGCGGGTCCACCAGATGGGACTTCTCGCTGCAGGAGGAGGCGTGGCGCTTCACCTGGGCCCCAGGGGGGCGCTCTGGCTCCTGGTCCTGGGCGAGGGAGAGAGGTGCAGGGGGAGACACGCTGAGGGGCAGTGGGGTCAGACTCCCCTGTGGGGGAGTGGGTTCTAGCCCTGGCTGGGTAGAGCAGGCAGGCTCTCTGAGAGGGTGACCTTCCGCCTTTAGGTCTGAGTAGCACTCAAGGATTTCTAAGCCACTTTCAAGACCCCTGTGAGGAACCCCGGTGTCCCAGAAGGTGGCTGGTTCAGAGCCACCGAGCGGCTCTGCCAGAGAAAGGCCTAGCGATGTACTCCCATACAGAGGACAACCTTGGGAGCCCTGTGGGGTGTCCTACCCTGCCCTGGAGGGTCCCCGTGTATCATTGGGGGCTCGGTGGCAGATAGAGGCCCAGACCTTCGTGTGGGGATAGCAGACTACATGGGAGCACCTGCGGAGAGGAAAAGTTAAGAAACGGATGAGCCGCCTGCCGTTGAGCTGATCCCGGCGTGGCAGAGTGGAGCTGGGCTCCCTCGCGTATCCCGGGCTGTTTTCAGAAGGAGACCTCAGGCCTTTCTCCTGAGGTTCCCAGGCTGGATGCGCATCCTTTGTGGTTAGCAGCCAGCCTGTGAACTGTGTGCCCTGCCCACAGACTCCTAGAGGAACATTCGAGTCTCCAAAGGTTGTGGATTGTGTGTGTGTGTATCTCCTATCATTCGGAAGTCTCCCTCAAATGTTTTGAATAGCCAATCCAGTGTCTTCCCTAAAAATTAAAGTCATGGACGTGCGTGTCCGCGTTTGAAGGTGGACATGGCTTAACGACCTCTGGACATGACGAGGATTGTGAACAGCCAGTTCCCGGCGGAGCTCGGGAACCGTGACGGAATCTAGTAAACAAACACCGCACTGACGTCCTGTCGATGCTGACTACAGGATGGAGTGACACTGCCAGGCTGTAGGGACCAGAAAGCCTCACCTTTCTCCTACAGAGCAGCTGGTGGCTCAAACTGCCGCCCTTGTGGCTAGCAGTGCGGCGAGTGACCACCACACCCCCGGGTCGCAGTGCAACGGAACACATGCGACTTGACAGCAAGCCCGTTTGCCCCTCTGCTCTAGGCACTGTGCTGAGTCTCTCTGGGGAGATTTCATGTCCCCCTGGGGACAGTCCTGGGAGACAGCGTCTCCCTTACTCATCTGCAGCTGGGACTCGACGCCCAGGGAGCTGAGGCACAAGGTGACTTGGCCTCGGCCCCAGGTCTGAGTGCACAGTTCACATCCTTGTAGCACCCAATGGCCCTGCTGCCAAACTGTGCAGTGGAGACCCAGCTTCAGCTGCCTCCACGGGCTCCCGTGGGTCTGCAGAAGGACCGTGTCAGTAGGATGAAGGAGCTGCTAGCACAGGGAGTCCAAGAGGTGAGGGCACACAGTGCTCCCCATCAGGGGTCCTGGCCCCCACACACTTGGTGCTTTCGCAGGCTGACCACCTCTCTTCGCTGGCTCAGAGGCCCGAGCCACCCGGCAGCATCCAGTCTGAATGCGGCTTCTCCTCCGAGTGTCCCATTGGGGGTGGGTGGGTGGGGGAGGCCCAGGTCATGCTGCCAGGGGTATCCTAGGCTGTGTGAAGGCCACAGAGGCCTCTCTGTGAATGCACCAACGGGCACTTCCTCGACTCAGTGAGCCAGACAGGGAGACTCTGTCTTTGGAGCTAAAGCCCAGCCTATGGACGCCACCAGCTGCCCAGTTTCAAATGGTTCATGTGCTCGGCTGCCCACCCCAAAGGGGAGTTTGAGGCCGCCCAGAGAGGCCTTGGAGGAAGGTCTGCTTCTGAGGACTCTTCCACGGACACCCTGAGGGGCATCGTGCTCCTCCAATGGTCAGGGTCGCCGTGCATCTGACACGACAACTGCTCTCTGTCGCTGCCCTCTGCAGCCCACAGAGACCCCTTCCCTGCACTCGGGTGCTAACGGAAGACTGATGGTCTGCTCCCATCCAGAGACACCACGGGACAAAGGCCTGGCGATCTGTTTCTGAGAGAACAGCCGTTAAACACCCCGTGGAGCACAGGTCTTCATCTGCAGCTGGTCCGAATCAACCTGACCGTGATTGGCATTGCTTCTTCCTGACCGGGGCTCTCTCCCCTGCCTTCTGGCCAGGGAGCCCTGGGAACCTGGGCCACTATCTGTGATAAGAAAGGACTCATCACACTCTGCTGTGACACCAAGGGACCTCTCTGAGGCTAAGGAAACAAGGGGCAGCTAGGGACAGAGAGAGGGGATGGTCCCTCACTGACCAGGGCCCTTTGCCACCCCCTCTACCCCCCTCGCCCCTGGCAGCCCGGGTCAGTACCTGCACCTTTTCGTATGGAACATCATCATAGACGTGGGGCTCGGGCCATGCATTCTGGCAGGAGCGTGCATAGCTGCAAAACAGACAGGTCAAGGGAGGGGGTGACACTGTGGCACTGGGTTTCGACTCAAGCAGTCGTTCCTCTGAGAGGTGGGAGGGTTCTGATGGCAGGCACGGCAGGTGGCCGCATTGCCACAGAGGCTTTATAGGGAGTGACTCAACTCATTCTCATAGAGACGGACCAGGAGCCAACTGTAAATAAGAGGAGGCTACCTCTACTCAGAGAACAGCAGCCAGCGCCAACGTCCCAGCCAGCTCTGCCAGGCCTGCACGCCCTGTCCCAGCCACACGCCTGCCAGCATGCCCCAGGGGCCGAGAACTTAAGGTCCCCCTGGCACAAGGACAGGGCCCAGCCATGAACCCCACCCTTACTCCTTCCCTCCACAGCTTCCTCCGGGCGAGGGGCAACCCCTCTGGCTGGCTCCCATCTGGCCGAAGGAGGAGGGCACCCAGAGGGGCTTCCCAAGTAGTAGTCTTTGGCAGCTCGCTGTCCCTTCCCCACCCAAACCCCATGCCGGGGGCTGGCCACTGAGCCCCCGAGAGGGATGGCGGAGGAGACGGCGCTGGCAGTAGGCAGAACCTTACAGGAAGGAGTTGCGTCCCGCACTGATGATGCTGGTTAGGGTCTCCACGTCCACGTAGTCGTAGTGCAGCGCCTCAGGGGTGACTCGGGAGCCCGTCTCCACCAGCAACAGGCCCAGCCAGCGGCCCATGTCCGAGGAGCAGCTGGCCTGGGGGGGTGGGGGAGGTTGGGGGGAGCGGCACAGTTGTTCACCGTGGCTGCCCTGGCCCTGCTCACGTCCTCCCAACCCAGATACTTACAAGGACCGGCCGCATCCCCCGCACGCACGTGAGGCTCACAAAGGATGAGGGCTAGAACACACCTCTAGAAATCCCTCACGCCGGTCAGGTCTCTGCTTGAAGGCCATCTCCCCAGGGAGGCCCTCCCGGACACCTCTCCCAGGTAGCATGTCCTCTCAGTCCTCAGGGCCTTCCCAAACCCTCCCACGGGAAAACAACATTTAGGTTGTTTATGGAATTATGTTTTACAGTGCACAACATTTAAAGTGTGGCAATGAACTGACGTAGCAGAACATGGCCATCATAGCACTCTTCACCTCCGCAGCTTTAGTGCCTTTAAATATGTTCCTCACGCTGTGCAGTTGTCCCCCCATCTTCTTACCGCAGATCGGAAGCTCTCACATAGCCCAATTTCCCCCTTCGCATTACAACTGCCAGATCATCAAAGTGCTTGCCGACAGGACAATCTCCACACTTAGGTTAGTTATCGTGCAAAGGTTGGTCTCGAAAGATCGACTTACCAGACAGAAGCTGAATGTGAATAAAGGAAGCATACTGCCAGAAAGCCCCACCCACTCAAATACGTTAAGGGGAATGAGAACCGAGGGAGCCACAGAGGCCACCTTTGAAAGGTAGGAACGAGGGAGACAGCGGGTGCCGGGTAAAGAGAACAAGACCAAGAAGCCTGGTTTTAGGTCTAGGGCTGCGGCCGGTCCTCTGTGGACTGTGGATGAAGCACTCGCTGCTGCCTCAGTTTCCCTATTTGTCATATGACCCAGGGCCATCAACTCCCTTCCGGCTCACAGTGCCCCGCTGGAGGAGAGGGTGGAGCGGCTCCTCAGTTTCCCAGGCTGTAAGTGATCACGGGGCGGACCGCCTCATCTTTTCCCTGACCCGTGGCTGGTGGTTGGGTACGACTGGCCTTGAGGCTAGCAGAATAAACTTTTTTATTTTTTAAGATCACTTTATTGGGGCTCCTACAGTTCTTATAACAATTCACACATCAATTGTATCAGGCATATTTATACCTATGTTGACATCATTATATTCTAAACATTTACATACTATTTGAGCCCTTGGTATCGGCTCCTCTTTTTACCCTCCCTTCCCCCTTCCCACCCTCATGACCCCTTAATACAGTGGTTCTCAACCTGTGGGTTGTGACCCCTTTGGGGGTCAAACGACCCTTTCACAGGGGTCACCAGATTCATAATAGGAGCAAAATGACAGTGATGAAGTAGCAATGAAAATAATTTTATGCTTGGGGGGGTCACCACCACATGAGGGACTGTATTACAGGGTCGAGGCATGAGGAAGGTAGAGAACCACTACCTTGATAAATTATAAATTATTATCAATCTCATATCTTACACCCACTGCTGTCTCCTTTCCCCCACCTCCCCCCACCTTCCTGGTATCGCGACTCCCATTGGCAGACTAAAACTTCCACCCCTGCACCGCCTTCTTAGTAGTGTGAGGGGTACTTATTCACAGTTTGCCCAGAGATAGCTCTTCTCTTTAAATTCCCACCAGCAGAAGGACTGAGATGTAGAAGAGGACGCCGACATGCTCTGCACCACCCCAGGGCCACCAGCAGAAGGACTGAGGTGTAGAAGAGGACGCCGACATGCTCTGCACCACCCCAGGGCCACCAGCAGAAGGACTGAGGTGTAGAAGAGGACGCCGGCATGCTCTGCGCCACCCCAGGGGAGAGCTCAGTGCCGTGGGCAGGAAGGACAAGCACCCATGATTGTGTTCAGCCACTGGTCACAAATGTTTAGGGTGCGCTGAGTGTATGCTGGGGAGCCCTTGTGGCGTAGTGGTTACACCTTGGGCTACTAAGCTGTTCGATACCACCGGCCACTCAGAGGGAGAAAGATGAGGCTATCTAGTCCCCTAAAGAGTCGGACTCAGAAACTCAGAGGGATGGCTCTACCCTGTTCCCTAGGGTCACTATGAGTCGAATTGACTCGAGGGCAGTGAGTCCTATATGCAGGGCATCGTGCTGGGTCCTGGGAAAACACTGTATGCAGAAACAAACCGGTTACTGCCTTCATGGAGCGTAAAGATTTCAACCCCATATGTGGGGAGAAGTCTTTCTAAACATGTGAGATGCTGGACGGGCTAAGTAGGTTCCTTTGAAGGCACTGCTTTAATTGGGGGGTTGGGGGTGCGGGCGGGAGGCACTTGGTAGCAAGGCTTGATCGAGTTCCAGAATCCTTTTGAGAGGGTTTGGAGTAAACTAGATGCCTATTTGGTAGGGGATCCCATGGTGAAAGAGAACAGACTCCAGACCCGGATGTCCTGTCACCATGGCCACCGAGACCCTTCCTCTCACCTCCAAGACGGTGACCTCCTGGCGGTTGCGCAGGATCCTGAAGGCAAACGGGTGTCTGGGCCCGAAGCCTGGGGCCACCTCGCAGCCACAGAGGGCGATGGCGTTCACGTGGGTCCGCAGGTCCGTGCGGTCCTTGTGGAAGTACAGCGTGCCGCACTTCAGGCGGCACCAGCGTTCCTTCCAGCCCTGGTTCACCAGCACGTTCAGATAGCCTGGCGGGGAGACAGCAGTGAGACTTCGGGAGACCTGGGCGTGGGGATGCAAGTCAGTGCACAGGTCAGGGGCCGAGGGCAACGCTGTCTCCCAGCTAGAACACAGGCCTCCTGGGTCCCAGATCAACCCGCTGTCTCCTGCCTGTGCCCCCAGCTGCCCTCCCTCCTGCGTTTGGGCCCTGTGCATGAACGGCAGTCCCTTGGTGGCACAGATGGCTAATGTGCTGGGGGGCTAATCAAAGAATGGTAGCTAGAGTTCAGAGGTGCCGTTGAAAGCCCTGTGGATCACAGTTCTACTCCGACACACGTGGGGCCACCATGCGTTTCAATCAACTTGAGGGCAACTGGGCTACTAACCTCCAGGTTAGCAGTTCAAAACCACCAAGCTCTCCTTGGGAGAAAGATGAGGCTTTCTATTCCCAGAAAGAGTTACAGTCTCCGAAACCCAGAGGGGCAGGTCTACCCTGTCCTATAAGTCAGACCCGGTTTGCTATGGGTCTGACTCACTGGGCGGCAGTGAGACTAGCACTGATAATGGCATTGCTCGCTGGTGCACAGCGTGAGTCTTATCAAGGTTGGTGGAAAGGGCAGAGATGGCTATCACTGATGCATAAACACAGCTCTCTCTCAGCTTTACTCTTAATTACCCAGACCGAAAAGGGCGGATGAGGCTGCCACCTAGGGGCAGTGAGTGGGGACAGAAACATGCAGCCACTGCACAGGCTCTGCAGAGGAAGGCAGCAGGGTTGAGGCTTCTTTCTTAACGCTTTAAAGCCACGCGTTTTCATACCAAACCTCCCTCTCCCCCAAACCCATTGCCATCGAGTCGCATTATGACTCCGTGATCCTAGAAGGACAGGGTACAACTAAATGCCCCTATGGGTTTCTGAGAATGCAATTCTTTACAGGAGGAGAAAGCCGCATCTTTCTCTCTCGGAGCGGCCTGTGGTTTCAAACCGCTGACTTTGCGGTTAGCAGCCCAATGTGTAACCACAGAATATTTCTGCAGCTCCTATATGTAATTGACTGGATTCCAGTCTATGGGACACTGTATTTACATGAACAAAATAATACGTGTGCCCCTCTGAGACACTCGTAATCCACATTGAAGACGCGAGCATGCTTCCTAAATTATACATGTAGCATGCTGTACGGTGGAAAGGGTGGTTGGTACTTTCCTCCCGTCAGAGTGGAGGAAGCTGAGGCTCGCAGGGAGCAGAGAACATGGCTCTGTTGGCATTTCCTTCGGCCAAGCAGCAGGGCCTCGTGGAAGACACTGACCGCAGGATGGGTGGGGTCAGCTCCCAGCTGCTCACTCCTTCCCGTCTCTGGGTGTGGGATGGACAAGGCAGGGAGGGACTCATGCCTCTGCTCCAGGAGCCCAGGTAGCCCGGGCCTGGGCCCTCTTCCTCCCCCTGCCCCCTGCCCTGTGGCCTGTACCCACCACAGCATGGGACGTCCTCCTCAGCCGAGGACGTCTGCAGCTCGTCCGCCAGCGCCTTCTTCTTGGAGAAGCTGATGATGCGGGTGATCTTCCGGCCCGCGGCCCTGCCCATGGAGCCCTTCAGCTCTGCAAGGCTGCTCTTCTTCCCTCTGCCTGCTGCCACGGAGACGGGTCAGGGGCCGGAGGGAGCGCCCAGCTCCAGTCGCACCCACCCCAGCCTTCCTGGTGGTCTCGGAAGGAGACCTGCTCTGCCACAGTGCGCCCCTCCCAGCCTGGGGCCCCCGGAGGCTCCTACCATGCTCACAGGCTTCCCGGCGGCAGAGGGTAGAGCTGTTGTCACCCAGGCCCAGGCTGTCGGAGTCTGAGGTCCGCTTCTCTTTGGCCAGTCTCTGGGGAGAGACAGAGGCCGCCCCGCATCAGACGGTCCACCCAACCCACAGCCAACAACCACTTCTCTGCAGGTGCCCTTTGCCCAAGGGACCAGGGGGGACAGTGGTGAGTGAGGAGTGATTGTGTCCTCCTGGTCTACTGGTGTGTGTGTGTGTGTGTGTGTGTGTGTGTGTGTGTGAAGCCATTTATTAGAATGCATTGAGGCAAACAAATGTCCGTGGGGTTTGGACTGTATTTGATAGGTGCCAGGGAGCTGGGGGAAGGGAGGGGGCATTTAAACAGGGTAGTGATGTCATACAAGTGGGCATAGGAGAGCATCTTCCTGTTCCAGTTGACACTGGACATGGGGACGATCAAGAAGACAGGGAAGTGAGTGGTCAGACACTTTTCAGGTTGTTGCCTCAGGGACACGTGAGTGGCGATGAGAGAGTCCATTATGAGCCTGGCTTGGGCCAGAGTGCGGTCAGCACCCATTTCCCACTTGATGACTTCACTGCCGGCCAACATTATTTTTACTCAATGTGCTGACTCTGGACCAATCACTCATTCAATCCTGCTCCCTTGTTTGCTGTGGCTGAAGTGCCTCCTCGGTACTACGAGGAAGTCCCTGGGCAGGCCATCCGTCAGCTTGCTGCTGTTCGTGCCCTGAGTCACTTCTGACTCCTAGCACCCTGTGCCCAGCAGAAGGAAACACCCCTGCTCCGGCACCATCCTCACTCGGGTCACGTCTGCACCCATTGTTGCAGCCACAGGGTCAGTCCATCTCCTCACTGCCCCTCTCTCCACTGGGCAGCGGTCCCTCGCCAGGAACTGGTCTCTCCTGGTAACCGGGCCCAGGCATGTGGGAGGAAGTCTCGTCATCCTTGCCTCTAAGGAGCACTCCAGCATTAGCTTGGTAGGCATGGATGGAGCAGCTGTAGTCGTACCAGCCTTGCTGGGCACTGGCCCTCCCCATGTGGCTTGGGGCTCCTCCGGGGCACGATCTGCGCTGTTGTCCCTCTGCTTGACCCCAAGGAGCGCGCCCTGGTATGACAGGTGTACCTTGTCCGTGTCCAGCTTGCACAGGAGGGTTGGGGACCGGGGGACCTCCACGCCCTCCGCTGCTCCCACGGGCTTGCTGACGTCTCGGATGACCTGGGGAGGCGCACAGAGTGTGGGTGAACGGGCAGAGCAGGGAGGGAAGCAAAGAGGGCAGGTGAGGCTGTGTGGTTAGGGCCATCATGCAAAAGGGGTCCGGGCCACGGGGGAGGAGAGAAAGGTGGACGTGGCTGCTGGCCACATGCTGGGTGTGTCAGGTGTGCAAGGCTGTCTGTGGTATCTGTCTTCTGGACACGGGACTGGGAAGCAAGAGGCTTGGTTTCAGGACCTGGCTGCACTGCTAATCGTGGTGTGGTTCTGGGAAAGCACCCAGCCTTGGCCTCCACATCCGCCCTTGCTTAGAGTTGTGTGAGGGCCTGTGAGCCGAGGGGCATGAGAGAAAGGAGCCCCCTACGTGGTGAGGGCCTCATCCCTGCCACCTGGTCAGCCCTCCACAACACGTGGGTGGCGTGGTGCCTAGAGCTGCTGCCTCCATTTCAGGGGTGGCACCACGCAGTCCCCAGGCTGGTCCTCACTCCCCAAGGCCACAGCGCAGTGAGCATCCAGGTCATGAAACAATGGCGGCCACCCTGCTGCTCACAACCAGGGGGCTCAGGCGGGTGCCCCCCTCCTGTTCCCACTGCAGGCTGGTGGGTATGGAGCATGGTGACCCTCAAATTACAGACGAGGGTGTCGAGGCAACGAGGTGAGGCTGCCTGCCAGTGGCACCGGCAGCCCAAGCCAAGGGCAGACAGAGTGGCTGCCTGCTCTTAACTTCTGGGCTGATGGCTCCCAGGTGGGGGCGTCAAGGCAGGTCCCTAACTCAGGTCCAGGACGCCTTCCTGGGACCCATGAGCCTCTGCGGGTGGAGCCTCTCTCTTCTGCTCCTCAGACAAAAGCAGCTGGGACAGATCAAACATGCTGGTGGGAGAGCTGGCTCTCACAGGAAGGAAGGGAGGGAGGTGTGTGACTGCATTGTTCCCGCAGGAAGATCGGTGGTGGAGAGAGAAAGGCATCCCACAGGAAATGAAACTGAGGACCTGGGGGTGGGTGGGGTGGGGGGAGGCAGCATCAGCACCCCAGTGATCCAGCACTCACTGGCTGGTGGGCACCCTGGGAAGCATTCGCTGTAACCCTGACACTCCTGAGATCCATTATGCAGATGAGATCACTGAGGCCCGGAGAGGCCCAGTCATTCGCTGGAGGTCATTGCC